TGAGGTGGATTGATTGAGGTTTTGGGTTTGTGTGTGATTTTAGAACAAATGGGCAGAGATGTTTCCATGTATTATTGCGAGAACCGCAACTACAGATGTGATCTCGGACGGTATGGGAGGAACGAGGAATGGTGCGCTTCAGCTGGTAATAATAATAATAATAATAATTGTTTTTCAATTATTTATTTATTAATTCAAATAACTCTAGTGTGAATTTTAATGGTGCAAAAAAGAACAAAGTATGATGTCCTTAATCTTGGGCATTCTACTTTAGTTTGTGGCTTCTCTTGTTGTAGTTAGAGTTAGTTTTCTACTTTTTTATAACTAAAATATATAATTAGTTGTTAATAATGTTAATTGTTTTTATAATATCTAAAATCAAGTGGACTAATGTGTAATTTTTTCTCGTCACATGTTATAAACGTACTAGATGCATGCCGAGTTACAAGTTCTATCACCGTTGGTTCCCGTTCGAGAGGTCAATTTTCTCCGGTTTTGCAAGCAGCATGCGGAGGGCGTTTGGGCTGTGGTTGACGTGTCAATCGACACCATCCGTGAAGCTTCGAATGGTGGGCCCACGTTTCCGAGCTGCCGGAGGCTCCCCTCAGGCTGTGTGGTACAAGATATGCCCAACGGCTATTCCAAGGTACATAATTCTAATAATTTCCATCTTCTCCCCCCAACATTTATTTATAAATTAATAATATGTGCATAGCATTATGATTTGTTGGCTTGTTACTTATTGCACACAGCTCCATATATGGCTTGCTTGTTTTTCTTCACATTTATTGAGTCTTTCCATGGGCTGGTGTCCTTCACCCTTTTGTGTTAAATGGAGTTTGTTGAGACAACTGCACCACCTTCAACTTAGTTGAGGGCATTTAATTGAGAAAAATCACCCACCAAGCCACACAACTAAATAATTATTATTTTTTTATTTAAGCAAAAAAAGAGTTCATTGTGTATTTTTGGAATTTGCATTTTAGTCATTAAGATTAGCTTACTCGAAAAGTTTGTTCTTTTATTATTTATCCTAGAAAGATTATTCACTAATTTACTAATGGTTACTTCGTTTGTGAACTAGTCTAAGCTGGAAATGAAAAGATATCATGTTAAAATAAATTATTAATTATAAATTTATCCAAGTGTTAGTTTACGTAGCTTTGTAGTTTTATTTGGCTTCGGTCTGCTACACTTTGACTTGGATATTAGTACTTAGTCCTGGACAAGATGCTGTTTGCCACAAAACTGCATCAAAAACCATATCATTTATACTATTATGTTATATAACTGGACACTGAGCGGATCGAGGTTTCCTGGAATAATATAATGGGATTAGATAATTTTTTTACCTCCTGTATAATTTCATATGATTTAGAAGTAAAATCATCGTAATCATCAAAGAAAAAACATTGGTATCAATAAAAAAGTGTTTGATGTTTCTATTCCAATCTTTGATGCTGTCTCGATCAGGCCACCCATGACTTTGATTCACATTATTAAATTTTGTGTGGCCCTGTCATTTTCTAGCTCCAGCCTCATGATGTGCTTGTGTTTGTTTTTATACTCAAACAAGAGCCTGTAAAATTAAAAGTCAAAACCCCGAGACTGGTTATTTTTTTGTGTTGTCATGTGAGCATCTATATAAAAAGTAAAAAAATTTAAATTCCATTCTGATTTGTGACTATGCTCTTGGTGCATATTTTTATTTTTATTTCTTCTATGCCACTCACATTATCACTCTACCTCGTGCCCACAAATCTTGTGCCCACAACTTTATGTTCCTTTCAAATTTTTGACTTACTGTTACACCAAACTGAGGTCATTTTAATTTTTCAATCAATAATTGGAAAAAAAAAAAAACTGTGCCCTAATATTAGTTTGAATGTTAGGTTTCATGAAAGTTTCAAGAATGCATAAATGCAAATATATGAAATGGCCGATCGAATGCAACGGCCTATCAATAAAAGATTTTGCTATGGAGCCATCAGATGACTGCTTATAGAGTCATTCATAGTTACTCACGAATGGTGTATTGACACATGTCATGCAATAAATAGTTAAATACACACTAGTACAATACCTGTGTACGGGTGGTTGATAAGATAATTAAATTTATAAAAAAATTAAAAAAAAATATTTATATTTTGTTGAAGTTGGAAAAATAAATAAAAACAATATATAACAATTTGTAATAAAGAATTAAGTAAATTAACAATATTATTTTAAATTTTAAAAACTAATATGTATACATCATTAATTTATTTATAATATTTTTACTTAAGACACATAAGGGAATAATATGGACAAAACACAAAATTTGGAAAGTAAAATTATATACAAATTATAGAAAGAAGATAATAAATAAATTTATATAGAAATAGTGTAAATATGCGTTATATATGGCAATCCGAACCCAAATTATTTGGTATAAAAAAATAGAAATTTTTATCTGAGCTATATTACAAAGTATAATATTTTGCCACATAAGATTACGAAGCATGCGAAACTGCCACTTAGGCTCAATGCGTTTTGAAATTATATATAAAGGGGATTGGACATGTGTCAGTATCATAAGGGAGCCAACTGATGGCTCTATAGAATTTCTGTATAGATAAATGCCATAGAAAAATCTTTAAAAAGTCATCATTTATCGATCAAATGAAACGGCTTATCAAATGCAACAAAATAATAATAATAATATAATAATAAATATTTCGTTTTGTTTAAAAATAAATATGCATCCAAAAAACTTGATTAACCTCCTTTTTGTAGGTCACTTGGGTCGAACACTCCGAATACGACGAGAGCCAAGTCCACCATCTCTACCGCTCGTCAATTGCCGCCGGCCTCGGCTTCGGTGCCCGTCGATGGGTCGCCACTCTCCAACGCCAGTGCGAGTGCCTCGCCATTCTCATGTCCTCCGTCCCTTCCCGGGACCCCTCCGGTAAATATAATAAAATACAATAAAATATATAACATTCCTTCCAACATATTATAATCACTAAAAAAAAAAAAATTAACCATCCATAATATTTCACATCCTCAGCCATCACAGCTGGCGGGCGCCGGAGCATGCTGAAGCTGGCCCAACGCATGACCAACAACTTCTGCGCGGGAGTTTGTGCCTCGAGCGTTCACGACTGGAACAAGCTGCGAGCTGGAAATGTAGGCGAGGACGTGCGAGTAATGACTAGGAAGTCTGTGGACGACCCTGGGGAGCCCCCAGGGGTTGTATTGAGTGCGGCCACGTCCGTGTGGCTTCCCGTGTCCCCTCAGCGGCTGTTTGACTTTTTAAGGAACGAGCATTTGAGGAGCGAGTGGGACATACTCTCCAATGGCGGGCCCATGCAGGAGATGGCCCACATAGCCAAAGGCCAAGATCAGGGCAATTGTGTTTCCCTCCTCCGAGCTGGTGGTGGTGTAAGTCTTTCCAATTCTATATTTTTTGCAGTTAAATATAAATTTATAGTTTATTATCTTATGCTTTACTGCTTAAATGCATTGTGTGTATTGTTGATAGTAAAAAATTTGTTACCTTTTTCTGGTGAAATATGGGCCATGAGAAGACCGACCATATTGGGCAAAAATTAGTTAGTTAATTAGGGCTTTTTGATATATCATCATATATTCTCATGTTCTTCTCTAGTCTATCGTGAAATGACGCATCTGCCCATAATCAGTTTTAGTGTGGGTCAGCCTAGACATGAATCTGATTGAGAAAATGACAAAAGAATTTGGAAGTATTTCATAAAAGACAGACCTATGGAGGCAGACCCAAAAGTAAGTGTCTTTTAGTTTCTGGCGTGTAATAGAATAGAATTCATGTGTAAAAAAGTCAAATGCTTTGTGCTGTCAAAACTTTCTTTTGGGGCCCATGCATGCAAATTTCGTGAGTTGACTACTCATCATCTCATTCATAGCAGCTTTACTCCAATTTACCAGGGCTAATTTGGTAATTTTTGACAGGGCATGGACTCGAACCAGAACAGCATGCTGATACTGCAGGAGACGTGCATAGACTCGTCGGGTTCGCTCGTGGTGTACGCTCCCGTCGACATCCCGGCAATGCACGTTGTGATGAACGGTGGGGACTCTGCCTACGTGGCGCTGCTCCCCTCTGGATTCTCAATTGCCCCAGATGGGCCGCATGAAGATGAGCCCAGCAGCGATGGTGGGCCGCCTCAGGCCCATAAGCCCATTGGGTCTCTGTTGACGGTGGCCTTTCAGATCCTGGTGAACAGCCTGCCTACGGCCAAGCTCACGGTGGAGTCTGTTGAGACCGTCAACAACTTAATCTCGTGCACTGTCCAGAAGATCAAAGCCGCCCTTCAGTGTGACGGCTGATGATGGGGCCCACCCGGCCTTTGTTTTCTTTTTCTTTTTGGTTGCTATTTTCTTGTTGGTGGTAATTTGGGATAACATTTAACATGCGCTAGGGTTCTNTGTAGTGATTTGAGAAATTTATGGTCTATTTTGAGATGTAATTTGACTGAGCCACTGAGGGGGTGGTGAGTCAAGAACGAACCACGTGTGGAAAAAAAACCCTTGAGTGGTGGTGGGGATCGTGATTGGCTGTGGTTCTTAGCACCATTAGAGGGTGGTGGTTCGGGTATTGACTCAAAAGGGTTGCACCCTTGAGGTGGTTTGGTATATATATTATTAATTAATGGAGTTATTCTTGTGTGTTGGAATTGTTACTCTTATTAACTATCTTAAATATTTAATTTCATTTGATTTTTATTGCTGATCCAATTGTTGTTATTGCTGTAATTTTCGCTGCTGCTGTTTTGATTGTCTAGAAACATGCAATTTGATGTTAAATATTTTTATTACTGTTACTATGAAAACCTTTAAAATTAAGGAGTTAATCAAAAGACTTTTTTTTCTAAAATTAAGAAATTAAGTTCCTCTGAAACATTAGGTATAATTCATTAAATAGTTAAACTACTTACTTGTGTTAGCTAGTTTTAAAAAGTTATTTATCATTACAAGATATTAATAAAACTTTTAGTCAGAAAAACTTTTCTGACTATATTATTGTCACATTGTTTTGTATGTGACTAACCCATACTGGTCCTTTACTATTATCACATGTTTGTACTTCGAATGGCTTTCCACCTTAAAATTTATTTATTGATATTTTACACTATAGTAGGCATTATTAGGCTGTGATTGGTTATAGGTTTGTGATTGCATATTTTGATTTTGATTGATTTTTTTTATTAATCATAGTTAACTTTAAAAAAGTTGATTTAGTTAAGTTTAAGTGAAATTTTGAGTTTGTATTAAATTAATATTTAAAATAAAATTATTAAAATTAATTTGATGTAAAAGTAAGAGAAAGATGATTGAAAGTGACGTGTAATAAAAATTATTTGAGTGGATACGTAGTGAATTAAAATTGATGTGTTGTTTGTACTAAAAAAAAGTTGATGTGTTGCATAAGGATGATTGATTGATACTATTTAATTATACGGATAATATTGAGAATAATAGAGTTTTGTTAAATTTGAGAAAAAAAAAATGATTGGTCTTTTATTGGATTTCTTAAATCCAATCACACAATTAACATCAATTTATTGACAATTTTTTTTGTTTTTTAAATTTTATTGAAATTTCATTTGTTACCTAATAAATATACACTTCATAAAGTCAATCACATTTTTGAAATATTTCACATAAACAAAGTTACCTAATAAATATACACTTCATAAACACAGTTAATAAATATACACTTCATCAAATACAGTTAAAAATGATGAAATTTATATTTTGGAAATAATTCACATAATACATTAAAATCATAATATTCACAGTTTTGAAATATTTCACAAAAACATATTAACCAAACATTAAATATTACATATCATAATATAATAAAATATATAATTAAATAATATTTTATGATTTTTATCTCATTCTTTTATATTATATTATATACATATTCTTTAAATTTAACAATATCTAAATAATTCCAAGGGGCTGTACTCTGCAAAATCATTAATGCTGGATTCAGAGTTTGTAGGGAAAACGGGTTGCGCCTGCATTTATTGCATGGCTGTTCACATTTACGTGTCTCGGTGTCTATCTCCCTCCACGCGCAGCGCGTGTCTTCTGTGCACTTTCCTGCTGATTTTACTTTTATGACCTTCGCCATGCACAGTACTATGTGTAGTAGTACCAGAATACGCGTGATTCCAGTATTTTTAAAGCCGGTCCCGGTTGGCCTCCGGGTCATTGAATTGTCCATTCAATTGTTCGGTTATTTTTTTATTTTATTATTTTATAATTAAGCCTAAAATAGGCTGAAAAATCAAATGCCTACAAGTTCATACAACAAGTAAAACAAACAAAATCAGAAACAGAAAAGATAGAGAGAAAAAAATAACAGCCAAAATGAAAAATTTAAAATTGGGCTAACAGGTGTGACAAACAGTCTGCGCCATGAATGGGCTAAAAAAAAAAAAAACAAAGATGACTACGTAAATCTGAAAGATGGGTAACCAATCTGATCCATCTGCACAAACGTACGAAGGCGGAAAGGATCCTCGTCCGGCTGAAAGATGCACCTCTGGGGAGTGGAGGCACCGATGCAAGCAAGGAAGTCACCGGGTAGGTTCCCCTCGCAGAAGATGTGCAATATCCGATAGCGGATCGACTGGAGTGTGGATCTAATGCGCATGAGCGGGTACTGAATCTGTCACGAACTCTGTTGACCTGAGGTCAAGAGAGTGACAACAGCGGCAACATCCTGCTCAATCCAAATGTGAGAAGAGATAAAAGCTGTTATCTGAAGGCCGACCTGAAGCGCCTGAACCTCCACATCATAACGCGAGGTGGCCTGAAGTGGGGCGTGGAAAGCGGTAATGAGATCTCCGTTGTGGTCCCAAATCAGGCCCCCTCCTTCGGCGGCTCCGGTAAGTCATTCAAAATGTCTGTCAGTGTTTAGCTTAACTCAAGGGAAATCGGGTCTCAGCCAAACAACAACTCTGGGACGTGGGTGCTGGACAGGCGGCAGCAAGGATGGGACGAGGCAGTGGGCCGGGGTGCAACCTGTCCAGTCTCTAGGAGTGAGTCTGTCTAGAGCTGTAAGGAGAGATAGATGTCGCTCAACCTGTAAAATAACGTGAGAGCTCATAAAAGTAATACCCATATGCTTCGCACTATTCCTTTCTATGCAGATGGACCACAAGATCAAACAAGGAATGAGGAAGCCCAAGTGTCTATAGTATGTGCGCCGTGAGAAAAAACTCAGGAGCTCAAAGAAGTTGTGTGATGTGGGAAGGGATATATGAGTATAAGTGGCAAAATGCTCACACACTCTCCTCGCAACCTCACTCTCTAAAAACAAATGAGAAAAAGTCTCCGACCGGAAATGTCCGGTCTCGACATAACAGTAGCACCGCAAGGAGAAAGAAAACCCCATCGCCTGCATCACATTGTCAATTGGAATTCGGCACAGAAGGAGGCGCCAAAGGAAAACAGAGATGGCCGGTGTAAGTAAGTTGGTCCAAATGGCCCCGAAGAGCAGGTTAGGTTGGTCACCCAGTCGAACTTCCGCACAAGCTGAGGTCGTAGAGAAAGCACTCAAAGGTGTAACTCTCCACCTTATACTGTCTAAACCGTTCTCTGAGATGGAAATTTGTTGGATCTAATCTAAAGCATGGTCACTAAAACCCGCTCCATAACCTAACACCCTCTCTAATCTATCCCTATCCCCACCGGAGAATCCAGAAAATTTTATGAGTCAGGGTAAAATATCAGTTATCTATTAGCTAAATTCAGGGACGGACCTACATATAAGCTAGGGGGGCCACGCCCCCCCCCCCCCCCCAAACTTTTAGTTTTTTTTACCTAAGTATATATATGTAATATACGATTTTGCTATGTAGTCATCGGATGACTTGGCTTATGGAGCCATTCATAGTTATCCACAAATAGTGCATTGACACGTGTCCTGCAATAAATACACATTAGACACATGTCAATACATAAAGTTATGGATGACTCCATAAGGGAGCCATCCGATGGCTCCATAGAATTACTGAAGTAATGTATTAGATTAAGTATATTTAATTATCATTATCTCTATTAACCAATTAACTAAAGATATATTGATTGAGATTATGTGGACTAGGACATGCCAAGGCCCATTAGAGAAATATATGGAAGATAAGCCATAAAAAGTCCATTTAACTTCCACCTTTTATTGTATTATATTATTTCTTTATTAATAACAGTGTTCTAAAAGTCGCTAGGTGCCCGCTAGGCGCTCGACCAGAGCCTAGCGCCTCGGGGCCCAGAAATCAATATTAAATGTCTTATTTTTTATTTATTTTAACTACTTACAAAATAAAACTATCTCAACTTATAATAAATTCACACACCAGAGTCCAAATAATAATATTAATATATATTAAAGAAAACATGAGAACAAAATAATGTAATTAGTATTTACAAAAATAAAAAAATAAAAAAAAACTGAAAAATTGCCGCCGAGCCCGCCTACGAGCGCCTAGGTCCGCCTACGCCCGCCTAGACGCCGCCTAACCGCCTGGCCATCGAGCCCGCCTAGGAGTGCCTAGGGCCGCCAGGCCGATTTTTTCTGCCGATTTGTACAAATCGGAGGCGCCCGGGCACCGCCTAGCGCCTAGGCGACGCCTAGGCCGATTTTTGAAACAGTGATTAATAAAACTAATAAAACTGCTCTAATTAACATAAAGAAATAATCTCAATTCAAGAGTCCAGAGATAGGAATAGAAACACACAAAACAACGGCACCGAGACGTACAACACAGCGGAGGCAAGCTTGCAAAGCAAAAATAAAAAAATAAAAAAAAATAGAACAATTTTGCAACAACAACAAGGATCGTCGGTCCAATTCCTTGATTCTTTCAAATAGTTTGATCATTCTTTTATATTTATGAGTGCCTTAATTTATGCCCATGTTCATAATTTATTTATTTATCCTTTTTAGGAATTTAGGGTTTAAAATATATGTGTATTTATTTATCATTCTTATATGAAGTGACTATATATCACTAAATAATCTATTAGCACAGAGCGTGCTTTTTCGGTTATGGCTATCGTTAAAACCAAACTTCGAAGTAAAATGGAAGATGATTTTCTTGTAATTATTTGACTATCTTCGTTGAAAGGAAAATTGCAAGATCTATTACTACCGAGTCAATCATCGATGGTTTTTTTCAATTCTAGAAATACAACTTTGTCTTTTTAATGAAGTATGTCACTGAAAATTATTTAATCCCCCCTAATTAAATTTTCTGGATCCGCCCCTGGCTAAATTATCAGTTGGATAACCCAAACATTACCTAAATATGAGTTAAACCTTTTATATAGGTATTTTTTTATTGAGACATTTAAGGTATGTTTATAAATAACTCAATCTATACTAAATTCATACTTAAAATCTAATCTATATACATTGAAAGAGGTTGATGGATCAATCTAAAAT